ATAACTTAAATCTAAAGTTGTATATTATATAGATGGTAGACTAATGAAACAGATCTAATTACATACAGCAGACTCTGAAGCTTGCACTCAGAGTCACTACACTTGCATTTAGCTCAACAAGCAAACATGTTTCTGTGCACTGTTCTTTCATCTGCCTGGTCTTCAGCTGTGGTCCATCAGAAGGGCACAGAGCACTCTGCTCGGAGGTCCAGACCACACAAGCAGATCTCACACTGTAACTTCAGGCCTTTACAAGATTCTCAACTTATATGGGGCCATTGGGGTAAAATGACAAACACCTAAAAAATAACTTAAACATACGCTTAATTTATTAACATGACCTTTGGCTATAACATGAGCTGATCATGATGAACCATGAACCAAAAATGGAAAAAATGCTATTACCTTAACATTTGCCACAAAGTTTATTCACACAAACAACATGTATCCCATTATTCCCAAAAATACATTTAGCAAAAATGTATTGCAAACTGCAAACTTAGGTAACATTTTTTGGTTCGTTTTCCATAAAAAATAAATGCAAAGAAATGTACTAATATACTTTACGGTTCCTGATGAGGGTTCTACATTAAAATTGTATATTACAAACATAAAAGCTTTTCAGGAAACACACATTATAACATCCCTCTCAAGAGATATTTCTTTCATCACAATATTATATTAGGGCATGGTTTTTGTATGTCATATCACATCACTTAGTAACCAGAAGCCTAAAGGCTAAAAGTCTCTCATGAATTCCAAATGAATCCTTAGACTCCAGCTTTGACTTCCTGAATCATGTTGGACACTTCACCTGCGTCACAGAGTCGTCTGCAGAGTGTCATGAGCACACATCAGTCACACAGGGATTAGTGCCGTGTGCAGAGCCTGGGAACAGCCTCTGGGTGGTCTGTCCCTGTCATCATGATCTGTCTACAGTATATAGTAGAAGTTTAGAGATTGTGGCTCAGTTGGTAGAGCAATGGCCTGTGAAACTGAAGGTTGAGGGTTCAAGCCCACTTCGGGACGTTCTCAGCCGACTCCACTGATGTCTGCTGTTCTTGTGTCCTTGGGCAAGACACTTAACCCACTTTGCCTAAAAGGTGCACAGAAGTGATGTTTGCTGCCTGGATGTGTGTATTCATTAAACTGAAAGTTTCTCACTGTGGGACGAATAAAGGACCTTCTTAATGCTTCAATAATATGTCAGTAATTGCTGTAATAATGTGTTTCTGTATTCATTCACTTAATAAAAGGTAAAACATAAAATCAAATTTTTGTCATACATTTATTTACATTGTTTATGAACAAAGTTATGCAAAGCATTGTATTCTTTTATGTCATACAGTATGATAGTAACTACTACTGTACAAAGGAGCCACAGCTGCCCTAAGATGAGGCTGCCAATCTATTGGCCCTTCAAGCTTGCTCTCTGTGAGAATCCCAAGGCGTTCCCAGGCCAGCTGAGAGACACAGTCCCTCCAACGTGTCCTGGGTCTTCCTCGAGGCCTTCTCCCGGTAGGACATGACTAAAACACAGGAGGCATCCACAACTGGTTTCTGTCATTGTGGAGAGTCGGCTCTCCTCTGAGCTCCTCTCGTGTGACTGAGCTCTTCATCCTCTCTGAGGTAGCGCCTCTGCACAGCAGGAACTAAAACTCTGGTTTGTTGAAACCCACAGGTCAAAATTGTCAGAACAGCAGAGATGAAATCCTGTGGTCCCTCTCCTATTTCCATTGTATCTATTCAACCAAACCTTTTTTTATGATGGCATCCAGCTCCTGTCAGGTTTGTCTGGTTTAACAAGACCAATTCTGGTTCACTTAACTGTACACAAGTGTTTTCCCCCAAGTGAACAACAACGAACCAGACAGGATAGGACAAAACATCTAAACCTGGGTTAGTTTAGGCACCTGCTGTCCAAGCAGAAGTTTATCTGTTGCAGGCCCTGTGTTGTACTCTCGTAGCTTGTTTGTGAATGGGGAGCACAGGGGACATAATTGCATGCTTAAATGCCTGAGAAAGTGAGGTGCAGTTCTGCTGAGCTGGTGGTTTTGTGTAGGCTCATTGTTGGGACGTGCACTCATGCTGCTCCTGTTGGGCTGAGGGAGAGCGGAGCAGGGGGGGAGCCCGGCCGGAAAGAACGCTAAGTGCTCTATGCATTGTTTATAAACTATTGCCTTTTATATCTCCAAAGATTTTAGAAGTATTTTAGTGTTTGAAAAGGTGCCGTGAAACACATAACCTTGCAACCAGCTTGCATAACCAGCTTGCAACTTCTTGAAACTTCTTCTACAACTTGATTCTTTTAGAAGGCAAGGCAAGTTTATTTGTATAGCACAGTTCACACACAGGGCAACTCAAAAGGCTCAACAAAACAAGAAAAGAAAACAAGACATTAAAAACATTCTGATGAACATTATCTAGTCACATTTTACTTTCAACACAAAATCTTTGAATATTACTTTCTTAATGTGAGAATGTAATGTACACAAAAACATGCGTGCTACAGGTGCTCATTATAACTCTGAAATGCTTAATCATTGCAATCTATTCATGTAAACATAGCTGTTTTCATCAAATAATTTGATGTAATTAATAGTTTCAAGGCAAGGTAAGGCAAGTTTATTGGGACATTAAGCCACATTAAAACAAGTGCACAGTTAAACCAAACCCGGATTTGAACAAGCCTTTCTCACATTTTCAGGAAGACTTCATGAATCTGAAACGCTGCCTCCCAATATTTAGTTCTGACTCCGGGCACTTGTAGGAGTCCAGTCCCTGTGCTCCTCAGAGTCTGAGTTGGTTCATATGGCACCAACATGTCACTAATGTACTTAGGTGCGAAGCCATGGAGAGACTCGATAATCTCCTTGTAGTTCATAAGTGTGAAATACCAGCGTTGTCTGGAACAAATCATATGGAGATATCCACTGGTCACACAAAAAAAAGGGGTTTGCTTGATAACATAAATCACACTGTTCTATGTTACAACAATGACCTGTCATAAGTTCTGAAAGTTTGAGTTTAGGTCACAGACTGAGGTGTACACATATAATGCATTATTATTGTTATAAATGCTCTTTGTCAAGAGTACCAGCTGGAATTAAAGGGCAAAAATGCTTCATATATGTGGTGTCTCCACATGTTGATGCTCAACTTGGCCAACTGGAGCTGTAGGATTTTACCTGTTGTGCATGTTTTTAGTGGTAGAGGAATACAGAGGACCTGGTAAAAGCTTCACAGACATGGGGAGAACATTCAAACCACACCAGCAAGAGTGCTAACAAGGCTGCCACATAAAAATATGTTTATGCCTTGGTGTATGGTTGGAAAGAACATTCATAATATTTTAAGGCCAGATTGCATCAAGGTCACAGAAATCTTTCTTGTACCCGGCATTGAGATATAAATGTGTAAGACTCAAAGCTATATATAAAACATATCATTATATATTATATATGATACCGTATAATAATAATGTATTTGTGCCACTGCTATCCAGAATGGCTCTGGTACATCTTTTGTTCTTTATGTTCTGTTGCTCTTCAGTCTTCAGTGTCAAAAGCCTGTGGGGCCCATGCGATAACAGGACATAAACTATAGTAGCAGGACTGGAATGCACCATCGCAAGGAACACACATGCCGCCCTCACTTCCACCGCGGGCCGGAGTTCAGGGCAACCCCAGTGTCCAAACAAAAGGCTCCTCTGTGGGACAGCGTGTAACGAGAGGCGCTGCGCCTGTAAATATGTTTCTCTATGAAGTTTTCCATCTCACCGCAAGACAAAAGAGATGAGCCATCCAATTCAGGTCGTCAGGGGCAGAGGGCTTCATGCACTCAGAAGAATATATGTCACATATGTCACCCATGTTCCAACCATCCTACTAACATTTTGTCTGTAAGTGAAGGTTTTGGTTGAATATTATTGCATAGTTTTCAGATAATCTCTACAATACAATACAGTTTATTCTTGTATAGCCCTAAATCACAACAGTAGTCATCTCAGAGGACTTAACAGAACCATTGAAATCACCAACACAGATCAGAGAATCAACAGTTCAGACACAACAAAGAATACAGAACACATGATAAATGTCCATACATGTTGTAGAATGTTAAAGTGTCCTGGACACCACATCCTTTTTGTTAGACACTAACTGTCCAACAGACCCTCCTGCATCGGCAAGGGAAAACTCACAAAAACCCAGTGGGAAAAACCTCGGGGAGACCCACATATTGAGAGAGGGATCCACTCCACATGGACGGACGGGATGTAGATCCAGGACCTAAGCCACAGAACGTGGACCAGGGCCACGCAGCGGACGTAGAACATGGACAGGTCTGGTGCAGGACTGAAGCGCTCCCAGGCGGGTCGGGCAGGGCAGTCCGCGGATGAAGATGGAGGAGGCCAGGTTCAGCGGACCCGTCGTCGCACCATGAAACAGACAATCAGACAACGGGTGAATAGCAATGAACAGACTACAATCAAAATCCTAATAATGCAGACAAATAGAGTATGAAGGAGGAGAGGATTGTGCTCAAATTACCATACATCTGATGTAAACAGAAAATGACTGAGAAGGAAAATAAAGCTGACACAATCATTCATGGGTTTCAGACTCCTATTCCAGGCCATATGAAGGCCCTCTATCCATTCAAATTATATTTATGAGGACCATTTTCCTTGCAGATACAATATTTAGTTTTGAATTGCTAATCAACATAACACCAGTCCTCATTTTTCATCATTCAAATACCTCTACATACGCCGGCATAAGAACCCTTGGACTACAGGTTTGGCAGATTCAAACTCAAACAAATTAGGGCAGCTGTGGTTTCATAACTCTTTGGAGAGGACACCGTTGCATGAATGATCTTGAGTGGTAAAAGAATACAAATGAGCAATATATAAGGCTGGCTAATTTTTCCATCTCTGCAATCAATGGCCGTGAATGTGAAACTGTCATTTTTGGCGCAGCTGTGATTGCTTTTGGCCCATGGCAGACCCGCTGACTCATGGGAGAACACCGCGTTTCCTCAGCTCCAGAGAAACAGACAAGACGCTCATTCACGTCTTCCTCCACCACAACTGCTCGTCTGTCCCCACCATGTTTTATTCAGATCTCAACCTTGATCCAGCCAAATTAATCCAGGAGAGTGTGCAGAGGGTTTTGCAACTCTCGCCTGTTGGATACATCCAATGTAGTTGGTGGACTAACTCATGAAGACATAATTAATCTGATACATGCACATATTAACACAATGTCAGTTAAGAGCAGCTTTATTTGAACAAGGTAACTGTAAAAGAACAATTTATACAATTTCAAGTTTTCAGGTCAGTTGCATAATCAATCAATCAAAAATGAATGTAGGGCTACAATAGGGGTAACAATCTTTTCAGATGTACATGCACAACTGTTTTTGGTCCATTTTGAACACTGTCAGTTGCAAATATTAGACAAGAACCTGAAATGTACTACATGGTCATGACTTTTTCAATTGTGTTTCTATATACTTTATAGGCCTGCTTCAGTTACTATAATCATTGGACAAGTGTCAATGTCAGAAAATCTGTCTTGACTGACCTCAGAACTATATGTGAACATCTGTAGCAGCTGCCCAATAAATCTCTGTGTTGAACAAACAGGAACAAAAAGTCCCATTTTTAATGGCAATGTACCATGGCGGGACGCAGTGAGTCGTGCCTCATCGGGAGCGTTTAGGGAAAGTCAAATCAGGGATGGAGAGTGAGACAGTGTTATCCCCTGTTTACAAATCTGTTCTGCGTAGTTAGTAACAGCACAGTAAAAGTCACATTATTGATAGCCATCAAACCACTAAGGCCACAACACCCCGGAGCCTATGGCGATTAACTTTCAGACCACCAAGTCTTTATTTACTGAAGAGCATGATCTATTTACATCTCCATGAAAAGAACCCACTGACCAAAAATGTAGATCAAAAAGAAATATTTACCACCATAATACATTTTTTAGCAAAAATGTTGTAAATGAAAGGGCTTTTTATTACTTATAATTTTGTACAATGACATCTCCGGGAAATGCAACATTATCATAACACCACTAACAACTTTGGTCATCAATACAAACAATACCTTTTTTCTATCATTATTTATGTTATAAAACTTTATTAAATAATATGGTCAATATTCAATTAATATTATGTCTAATATAATTATCATTATTGTATTTTTAGTCTTATTGTTTCCATAATAGATCTTTTGTATACTGAACAGCACATTCGAGTTAAATTTATCCCAAGAATCAAAGTCTACGCATAAGACATTACAAATTATAAATTCCAACCACATTTCTTGTTATAAAATAAGTTAAGTTATTTTTGTAGTATTTGTTATTATCTTTCTACGTTTGTTGTGCGTTGACCCTGTAACGAATCTACGAGCGCGTATGGACAAATACATAAACATTTGTCTCTTGTTTCCAGTTGCAAACAGTTCGCCTGAGTTTTTCGCCGTACAACCTTCTCGTTTGTATTTTTCAAGCATTTTATACGTTCACTTTGATGCTGTTTGATTGTTTTACCAGTTTTGCTATTTTATGTGAGTCAGACTTGATGCTCTATCCTGTCGCTAATGTGTATAACCTAAATAAGCTAACCTAGCCTTGAGTTGAATGCTACAGTCAACAACACTACAGTAAAGGCGCTGGTGATGCTGAAAAGAGTTACATGGCTTCAACTTATGCTTCTGAAAATGGTTGGTTCTTGTGGTGAATGTATTTTAAACGTTGTTAGATATGTGTGAGTTTCTATGTTAATTCATCATGTTTATTCATCATGTTTTATTATTTACTGATGAAATTGTCCTAACCTGAGAATTCCTTCCCACAGCAATATGGCATGAAGGCGACACTTGTTTAGCTCAAGACCACAAAGATGGAATCCTGCGTGAAGCCACAATCTCTAGACTTTCTGCATCATCCTCTGAAAATCCGGTTACAGCCTGGTTGACATTTTGGGACCATGGAGCAGCTGGGGTGGAGGAATCTGTGCCTGTGTCAAAACTGAAAAAGCCAACATTTAACAGTACATCCCAAGAAAAGCCTTTCTTCTCTGGCACTGTGATAAACTCAAATGTATCTGTGCCTTTAATTCTAAGTCATGAGGACAAAGTACCTTACACCATCAACAGATACTTACGGAATTACCAGAGAGAAGGAATCAAGTTCATGTATAACAACTACATCCATTCCAGAGGTTGTATCTTAGGAGATGATATGGGTCTAGGAAAAACAGTACAAGTAAGATTGATAATAACTTGTCGTTCATCAGTGAAACGTGTGTATAAGAAAAGATAATGGTGTTATTCTATGGCAGGTTATTGGCTTGCTCACTGCTGTTCTGCATAAAAAGGGAACCTGGGAGGATATTGAGAACAACCGCCCTTCTTTTCTGCAGAGCCAGACTTGTCATAAGCAGGTCAATCGGAATAAGGTATGTGTGATAATAAACAATTATAGCAATAATTAACTTTCTTTGTATATTATTTATACATACTTTTTTATCAAAAACATAGTGTATAAAGTGCTTCACAACAAATGAAGGCAGTTCAAATCATTAAAAAAAAAAGAAATTAAGAAACACAAAAATAGACACATGTAAAAACAAATCTTTCGAATAGGGGATTATAAAAAAGAAAGTTTATAAAGGAATTTTAAGTTATTTAAAAGTGGGTTTTGGTGGTGTTAGCCTAACGAGCTGTAAAAGTACATTCTAAAACACACAGGGAGGTAGTGGAGCTAAACAGGATGCTAAACAGGGGTAATGTTCTCCCTTCTGTTATAACCAGTAAGAACACTGGCTGGTGTAAGGGTTCAAATCTGAAATAAATACAGTATGTATAGGTAAATAAAAAACTGTGGATCTACCAGCCGCAGGGTTTAATGAAGATCCGACGTCAGGGACTGAAATGATACTTCAGATGCCATTTACAGGAATTCAACTTGAAAAATCTAGTCCTAATGTATTCTAAGTAATTTATCAATTAATTTGTCAACGGATTTGATCAAAATATGCATTTGTCGACTAATTGATGAGAAAACACCAAAAATGAAAGTATATGATGCAAACAAGAAATAACAATTGTAAACCGCTTTGTGACTCTGGTCTGTGAAAGGCGGTATATAAATAAAGATTACTTACTTACTTACTACTTACATATTTGGGATTTATTTTTCTTTAATTCATGTATTGCAACATGGCTTTCTAGTTACTTTAGTTGTGTTGTATAAAGATGAAGTGGATCAGATGCACCACTAATAAACATAATCAATTGAAATTAGATGTCTTTAATTGAGCAGTCCTAATGTATTCTTTGTTGTATCTTTATTGCTTTACCATCCACCGTAAAGGCTACAGAGTCTCTCATGTGGGAACTCACTAATGTACTGAGAAGTGGCAACAGAGTAATATTCTGCAAAGGATCAATAACGATTCTATCTATCCATTCATAGGTCTTCCTTATAGTGGCTCCTTTGTCAGTGCTGTATAACTGGAAGGATGAGCTGGAGACATGGGGTCACTTCCAGTGTGTGGTTGTCCATGGGCTGAAGAAAGAAGAGGAGTTGAATCGTATCAAGAAGGGCCGCATTGAGATTGCACTCACAACCTACGAAACCCTCCGGCTTTGTCTGGATCGCTTCAACGAGTAGGTTTTTTATTGCTCGCAAAACATCTGCTGTTTGTAACTTTATGTTGGCTGATATATCTTTTTTGTAGCATTGACTGGTCTGCTGTCATTGTGGATGAGGCCCATAAAATAAAAAATCCTAACTCTCAGATTACACAGGCAATGAAGCATCTGAATTGTCAGGTGGGTGGATGGATTTTATTTTTTTAACATTTTAACCAGGTGTGTTTTATACTTTATAAAGCATCATGTACCAACTAACGTCAGATTGAATGAATTGTCTTAGATTCGAATTGGACTCACTGGAACAATCTTACAAAATAATCTTGAAGAGTTATGGTGTGTCATGGATTGGTAAGCTCTGCATATTTCAGGCCTCAACTATTTTAATATTGTCAAGTGTGCTAACCTCTGCTCAAATAAGCATTCTTCTTTTTGATCCCTCAAAAATGAGATGCTTCATCTCAATGGGCTTTCCATTAATACATCTTTTTGTGCTGTTTTTGATGAAGGGCTGTGCCTAAATGCCTTGGAAGCTTGGGGCACTTTAAAACAAAATTTTCTGAACCTATAGAACAAGGACAGAAACACAATGCTACAAAACGCGCTCTTGCTACTGGGAGGAAAACTGTCCGAACATTAGTGAAGAAGATTTCTCACTATTTTTTAAGGAGAACAAAATCTCTCATCAAGGACCAGCTTCCAAAGAAAGATGACAGAGTAAGACATTCAAAACCTGGTCATGTATGAACAATACAATAATAATCTGTCTTCTGTGTGTGTCTGAACTAGGTTGTGTATTGCTCCCTGACCGACTTCCAACGAACAGTTTACAAAACAGTTCTGGACAGTGAAGATGTGACGTTACTCCTGAGGTCTGCTGAGAGATGTGACTGTGGTAGTGGACACACCAGGAGACGCTGCTGCTACAAAGTCAGTTTGAGAAATCAATACTTAAATAGACTTTATTCTATTATTTTCTGTTGAAAGTATCAGGTTTATGTACACCTCAACTTTGTCCATCACTGCCTGGACGGGTGGGTTCAAAACTTAAAATATCTTATTACTTATTTATCCATATTTTTGGCAGGCCAATTCTAAAGGTGTTGAGATGAAAACACTATACTTCACATATTTGGCCATATTGAGGAAAATTGCCAATCACGTGGCATTGCTGCAGTCTAGCTCAGGAACCAGCAAGAGACAGGCATGCTCCTACTTTTTTGCTTTCAATTTATGTCGCCCCTTTTTAAAAATCTGTCCACTCTTTTCTGTAGAAAGAATGTGTTGGTGTCATTTGTCAGAAAGTGTTTGAACAGTGTCCAGAGTTTGTGCAGAGATGTAAGCACGAGGCGTTTGAAGCCTTATCCGACCCAATGTACAGTGGCAAAATGAAGGTATGTGCCCCATGTCTCTTACTCGTGTACCATGGTCCTTATGGACATTGGTCATCTGCCCCTTAAGAACCAATACCAATGGGTTTTCTGTTTTATTTGTGGCCTTTAAACGGTTTGATTCTCTAATCTGTGTTTGCGAATTCAACAGTTGGGTAAAGTCCTCCAAGATAAATACTGTTGTGATTTAGGGCTATACAAGAATACATTGAATTGAATATGGTCTACTTCTGTACATTCATTCTATCATTCATATGTTTTAGGTCTTACAGAAACTGATACATTTTTACTGTCAGAGGAAAGATAAAATACTTTTATTCTCGCTATCGACCAAGGTAAGGACATATTGATTTGTATAATTTTTGTTTAATTGATTTTGCAATTAAATACATTTCAAATTCTTAAAATTACCTTTTCATCCTAAAAGTAGCAATATGTAAGATTTTCATGTCAAGTCATCATTAAATAACCCTAGTCTGTCCAAAGGCATTAACAAAACATGCTCTTTTCAATTACATCTTCAACTGATCACAGTAGTTCAGCCGAGATAATTGGATTTCAAAATTACTTTTACAGCCTAAATCTTGTTATTGTTTTCATTTCGATGTCCCGCCCTCCATTGTTTTACCAATCAGAAAGTCTGTGATCCGGGTTGCCTGAACTCACCACATCGAGCTAATCTCACTGGTAAAGTAACATATGGCTGCAAAACTAAAAAAGGTCCTGTTATGATTCTCAAATGATTAATGACAAAACAAGGAATAGAGGATTTCTATCTCTGTGAAAAAGATGATTTGTTGTTGACAAAACTCTTTATTCAGATATTATGGTCCTAGATGGATTTGTCTGCATGTCTGGCAACCAAGTCAGGGAGAGTGCAGTACCACTTTTGGCCAGATTTTTTACATACTGCTCCTTTAAGCAGATTTCCTATTTTGTCTATACATCACCAAAGGCTAATTTTTAATATATATACGGTATATATATTTTATGGTATATACTATACCATTTCCTACTCTCAACAAAAATCAATAAAAATTTTTGTGAACACTTTAATTGAACCTGAGCTGGTATTGACCCAAGGACAAATCTGGGGTTTATATTTTTGTATATTTAAACCACAAACAAACACAGCATTCTTTTGGATTGGTTCTAAAAGTGAATAGTTTGTCTTGTATTAGATTTATTAGTGGAAACCGTCAGCTCTCACTCTGCTTGTGTATACTTTACGGCGTTTGTTTTGGAGCCTCACCATCTCTTTGTTGTGCTTGGATTTTCAGTTGTTGGATGTTTTGGAGAATTACTGCATGGCTGAAGGCTTGGACTACAGCAGATTAGACGGGAACACAAAATCCAAGGAGAGGGTCCAGATCGTCAAAGAGTTCAACAGCTCCTCTCACATAAACATATGCCTTGTTTCTACCATGTCAGTAACGTAGTCATTTCAAATATATTTGAAAATTGCATTTGAGATTTTGTAAATATACTGTATGTGTGTGGAGATAAACGTGTTCAAATATAATATACAGTGGATTATGCCAGTAACTTTCCACTCTGGTCATAATAGTACTTTTAAGGTGCATATGATTGTTTTTTACTTTACTACTACTACTAAACTACTTACTGTTGTTTTGTTTAATATTTATATAACTGTGTAACTGCCTTTGTTTCTTCCTGCAGGGCTGGGGGACTCGGCCTGAACTTTGTAGGAGCTAATGTTGTTGTTTTATTTGACCCCACATGGAACCCTGCCAATGACCTCCAGGCTATTGACAGGTACTCTAATGGAAGTACTTCTACCATAGTAATACTGCATGTACTCTACTGTGGTACATTTATGATCACATCTGTATGCGATTGTAGGGCGTACCGCATTGGGCAGTGCCGGGATGTGACGGTTCTCAGGCTGATCTCCTTGGGCACGGTGGAAGAAGTGATTTACCTGAGACAAGTTTACAAACAGGTACCATATATTATTCATTAGAGGTTTTTAAAACTAGTAAGTAAGTCAGTAAGTAATGTTTATTTATATAGCGCCTCTTACAGACCAAGGTCACCCAAAGTGCTTTACAAAGACACATTTTTGCGTCTTTGCTTTTAACACCAACTGAGTCTTACTTGTTACATTTATTTATATGTATTTTATGCTGTTTGCTTTTATTTTTTATCTTTTGTGCCTGTGAAGCACTTTGGGCAGCTGACGTTGTTGTAAATGTGCTATAAATGAAGCTGAAAATTACATTCTTAGACTACATTAGTTATGTCATTGTCATTATTGTCCGTGTTTTGGATTAGATATGACTTCTGCAGAAATGAATGGGAAATGTTTTCTATATTTTTGAGATAAAGTGAAGAATGTTACAGTTGTTAGAAAATCATTATTTACATGCGGTGGCTGAGTAGATAGCACTGGGTTCGAATCACAGTTGGAACAGGGCCTTTCTGAATGGAGTTTGAATGTTCTCTCCGTGTCTGCGTAGGTTTCCTCCGGGTGCTCCGGTTTTCTCCTACCTCTAAAAACATGCGCAATAGGTATGATTGTAAATGAGTGAGTGAATGGCTGGTGTTGATTGGGGGCTGATGCGCCAGTATGTTTGACGTCTCGCTTCCGTCATCACCGTGTATGGAGTGATTGGAACAATATCTGAATTCGGAACATTGTAAAGCGCTTTGGGTGATGTAAAAATGCGCTATATAAATAAACACGTCTTTCTTATTTACTTACATTACATACATTACAAAAGCTTCCTTAAATAGTTCTGTTTGATGTTGCCTTTTAAGTCAGTCTTCCACTTCAGAAAATGTGTTTGGATAAAGCCTTATGAGATGAATGTAAGAATGAATGAATGTATACCTTCAATTTGATTTTTTTTTACTCCAAATCTTTCAGCAACTGCACTCCTCAGTTGTAGCGGTGGAGAGCGCCCGGCGATACTTTGAAGCGGTCCAGGGGGACGATGCACAGAAGGGAGAGTTGTTTGGCATAAAAAACCTCTTCAGACTACAGATCCAGGGGACATGCCTTACGCGTCAGATCCTGGAGGTCAAAAATCCTACAAACCGTGTTTATAGAATTCAAGTGTACTTTGAAAGTTTTCTGGAATCATCAGATCTTTCTGTTCCTTTAGAGAGAAGGGCGAGTGGAGGCCGGTTTAACGACGACTCGGACACACATGGGAGAGGAGAAGGACGAAGAGGAAAAGGAACAAGATGTGAGTTTATTGAGACGATAAAGACGAGCCAATGGTTGCATCCAAATTCATAAAGATACCTGCTTCCTTGCCCCTTCCTTTTATAAGACAAGTAGCTCAGAGTTTGGCCAAGTGAAAAAGAATACCTTTTATTTTATATGATAAAATCAATATCTTGTATTTTGAGTTTGGATGCAATTTTTTTTTACACACACAAATCCTTTCTTATGCACCCTATACACTTTTAAGTAGGTAAAATGGAACCAATACAGATTTTGAATTAGTAATTAATTTCTTTCTCACTATTTATACCACTGGCAGATAATTAGACTTGTTTCAAGGGTGTTTTCTCCTAATATGAACATACTTATGAGGCGACCCCGCTCCCATCTCCGTGTGGAGTGAGAGGACAAATGCCCACAATCGCAAACCGCTTTGTGACTCTGGTCTGTGAAAGGCGGTATATAAATAAAGATTACTTACTTACTTACTTACTTAGTGTTTTGAGATACATAGTTCAAAAGTTGGACACCATAGTCTTTTGTTTGTAAGCCTGTGGGAAACACTGGAAGCCACCTATTTCTTCTTTTGTTTGACTTTGTTCTGTCTTGTGTGACCCAGCTGTGTATAATTACCTATGTTAGAATGGGACCAGAAGACCACACCGAAGGCTTTCCATGCTTTATTTATTTACCAAGTGATGGGCTCTTCTCATGTTGTTCCATATCGTCCCTGTCTGCTGCAGCTTCCTCCAAGGCCATTTGAATTCCTACACAAATAGTGAACTGCTTTAACATGCACACAAAAGAGGCCCCCGGGCAACACATGCAGGCAGAACTGTAACCTCCAGCAAGTGTCATGGCAAATGTCATGAAATCAGGAAGACTGTTGGTGGTCCCTGCCATAAAGACGCATTCACACGGCAATTGCAAATGTACTGGCCTCATTGTTCCGGTAACATGACATCATAACTGGGGGCATATGTCACAGCGATGTTTCCTAATTACACAAAGAGGTCTCACATTAGCCGTAGAGTTGGCTGACATACTGTTGCATTTTGATGGCTATGTAAATATTGTAAGGGTGATTGCGTTGTATGGGTATGGTTCTTAACTGACCTGGTTTTCAGATTATGTAGGTCCATCACCAGCTAAAGTACAATGTTAAACAGAAACGGGTGTAGCAAGTAGGCCAGTCTCTAAGTTAGGACCCCCTGAAATCAGATTGGGGAAAGTTGCCTGTGAAGTGAGATTTGTGTTTTTGTTCCACCAATTATTTGACTCATTTGTGCAAATTCAAATTTCTAATCTGCCTCCCCAATTTGCTGGATTATCATAATTTCTTAGTCTACTGTTCACTTCACTTACCTCTTGTGACTTGAGTTATTTTTCTTATTATTCTGAACACTGAACACATACAAAACACACATTGGTCCACAACAGCAATGCAAATAAAAATAAAAAGAATGCATCAATCTGTACCCATCAAATTGATACATTTGATAAAACAGTTTTTTAGTTTAGTCTTTATTTGAAGGGACAATGTACAGAGACATTAAGATCAAAGACAGATATTTTCTGCACCAGATTATAGTTAAACAGCTAGTTTCTATCTGCAGTCCCTGGTTACATTAATAAAATACATGTTTACAATAATGCACAATCCAATAGAAATACCATCGCAATATAACATACAACGCACTCTCTCTGATGCAGACTCTCACACACACATTTAGCCTTATACCTTATACCAGTTGATTGATTAATTAATTGATTGAATACTTTTTTTTTTGAGCCATACAAAATTATAACATTCTTCACAATTCAGAAAGCACTATACCTACTTACATGGGCAACAAATGAAGAACAAGAGGTACAGGATGGATTTGTACAATCCATATATGGGCTTGTTCACACTAAAGGGCACAAAAGTGTGACAAAAGGCCAAAAATTAGATTTTAATAATCAGAAGATATTTTATGTTTTTCATGTTTCCAAACACCTCCTCTGTCCATTAGAAGTTTCTAGAACATAACTGTTTTATACATTAGACAAGTTTCCTTTAGCGGCCCTGTTTATGATTTGACGGAATGAGCTTTGTGGAAGTTTGAGATGTCCACAATTGATTCAGAGATTCTATTATTTTACACAAAGTAGATGCAAAGTGATACTTTCATATTGTCAACCAATTAAATGTGAAAACAGACCAGATTTTTCTTTTTTTACAAGTTTAATTTTTAGTGAAAAGAGGACCGTCCTCATCACGTTCGTTACACTTTTTTCAGGGGTCATTTAATTTATTTATTAATTTCTATTTTTTCACGATTCCTTTTTATATCAAGTGATTTCCTTCTGTTGTGCTAACCATGTAAATCTTGTGGGATTTCATCTTCTGCATTTTCAGACTGAGGACATTTTATTTTCTATGTCACTGGCGTCACAGTAGAATGGTCCAATCAGAGGCTGATTTGGTCGTTTAAAATGTCGCAATTTTTGTTGTTGTCAATCTTTCCTTTTGATTTTATCCACACTATGTGTCTGTGTTTGAAATCTTTTTTCCAATCTATGAAAGTAATTTTAGTTTTTATGTTATAACCTTTTAAAGTCCAGATACTTTAATTGTCACTTTACTGTGAACACACTCATAGTATTCCAATGGTTGGTTGGAGACGGTGAGTGAGGGGGCTTTCTTCTGCTTGGCCTATTACGCCTTGAATATATTTCTGAAAATGTTCTTCTGTTTTCCTGTTTCCTACAAGGAGCCGGAAAAAGATCCTGCCATTGCTGCCTCAAATAATAATACAGCGCTTGTGAACAGCAGAGAAGCGACCAGGCTGCAGAGAGGAGTTCTGGACTTTAGCAGCGGCAGTGAAGAGGAGGATGGGTTATCAACAAAGAGGTCATCAGACCCAGATAAAGCTGACACTGCTTCTACTCCAGGAAGAGTTACTTTAATGCAGTATGGGTTTTGTAAACTGCTGCAACGAATCAAGGGATCCCCAGATTCAGTGGATGGTGATTCAACAAACATGGACAAATCCTCTGATGACGACAATCAACAATCTCCATCTGATGTCTCAAACTTCACTACAGTAAAAGACGCAAAAGTGGGATTTCAAATATTAAGTGACTCTGAACAGGAAGAAAATCATGCGTCAAAGAAAGAAGTCATTAACAAAAGATATAAGCGTAAATTTTTGCCGAACATAACTGATACGATTTCAGATGAGTCAGAGGACCTTGACTTCGAGGTGATGACGTCTAATCGTAAGAAAGCTCCAAAAAGGGGGAAATCAAGGCATAAACAACCTCAGAGCAAAGTCAGATTCACAGAAGAGATTGAGACATTTTCATCATCTGAGGACGAGCGGACCAGTGTGAAGCCTCGATCTAAAGATCGCCATTTCATCTCTTCTGTAAAACAATCTACTACCTCAGAACGGAGCGGGCACGTGACAACGGGAGAGCAAGGCCAGATTTCCAAACCCTCTCCATCTCCTCAAGCAAAGAGTGGAACCATTGATTCTGTGTTAGGTGGGTCAATTATGAGTAAGGATTAACAACAAGCAGCCATGCATTATACAGTTAAGCAGAGTCTAGAACACCACAACGGGCGACGCAAAGTGCATTATAACTGTATAATGCACGGCTCTGAATTTTTTAATCCGCTTATACCATGGTCCCGTGAATTTAAGTGTGTAAGAAGTAAGCGCTTCTCCATGTTATCCAGCGCTATTAGTCACTACGGCTTGTCACCTTTTTGACAGTTTATTTGATCCAGCTGTTAGTTACTATGGCAACAACTGTGGCGGAGTGATTTAGAGCATGATTTTATACTTATATATATGAAAATAATGCATGGGAGTTAGCTTTGGAATTCTCACAGACCATGGTATACTATTGGTATTTCACTTCACAGTTATGGGTGTTATTTTGTTGTGGTCTTTCAGTAATACATTAAAATCTTTTGTTTGTGGCTGTAACATGACAAAATGTGCAATAGTTTGAAGTGTACTGATACTTTTGCGTGGCACTGTATATCCCCAAGGCAGATGTGGCGTCCTACAGACCAGCGAAACAATATTAATCATTCCTTGTGTTTTTTTCTTTCTGAAGGTGGTGTCCAGGAAGTCGCCTACACCCACTCCAACCAAAGAGTAGTGGGAGGGAGCAGAGCCGAGGCGCGTATCAGCAGAGCGGCGGTGCGAGATGTGTTCGAACGCAACCTCTTCTCTCAAATGCCAGCCAACCATCTCATAGGAACACAGGAGGTATTCATCCTTATTATGTTTGAGTCAACATCAAAGCTGCTATAGCTAACTATTTCTTTTGTTATTATACATGTTGCTTGTTCTGACTGAAAGAGTTTTGAAAGAGTAAAATATTATGAACAAATCAGGCCACCACATGCTGTCCTATTCTTAGTATAAAATATTGTTTGTATACTTATAAGAAAGTGCCCGTCAGATTCAGATTCATTTTATTTGCCAATTTCAGTAAAACCACATTGGAATACATTTGCAAAAGTCCCCAGTTAAAAATGTACAGTGAAAGTATTCGGCCCCCATTGAACCTTTCAACATTTCGCCACATTTCAGGCTTCGAACATAAAGATATAACATTTTAATTTTTTGTCATGAATCAACCACAAGTGGGACACAATCGTGAAGTGGAACGAAATTTATTGGATAATTTAAACTTTTTTAACAAATAAAAAACTGAAAAGTGGGGCGTGCAATATTATTCGGCCCCTTTACTTTCAGTGCAGCAAACTCACTCCAGAAGTTCAGTGAGGATCTTTGAATGATCCAATGTTGTCCTAAATGACTGATGATGATAAATAGAATGCACCTGTGTGTAATCAAGTCTCCGTATAAATGCACCTGCTCTTTGATAGTCTCAGGGTTCTGTTTAAAGCGCAGAGAGAACCATGAAGACAAAGGAACACACCAGGCAGGTCCGAGATACTGTTGTGGAGAAGTTTAAAGCCGGATTTGGATACAAAAAGATTTCCCAAGCTTTAAACATCTCAAGGAGCACTGTGCAAGCAATTATATTGAAATGGAAGGAGTATCAGACCACTGCAAATCTACCAAGACCCGGCCGTCCCTCCAAACTTTCATCTCAAACAAGGAGAAGACTGATCAGAGATGCAGCCAAGAGGCCCATGATCACTCTGGATGAACTGCAGATAACTACAGCTGAGGTGGGAGAGTCTGTCCATAGGACAACAATCAGTCGTGCACTGCACAAATCTGGCCTTTATGGAAGAGTGGCAAGAAGAAAGCCATTTCTCAAAGATATCCATAAAAAGTCTCGTTTAAGGTTTGCCACAAGCCACCTGGGAGAAACACCAAACTTGTGGAAGAAGGTGCTCTGGTCAGATGAAACCAAAATTGAACTTTTTTGCCACAATGCAAAACGATATGTTTGGCGTAAAAGCAACACAGCTCATCACCCTGAACACACCATCCCCACTGTCAAACATGGTGGTGGCAGCATCATGGTTTGGGCCTGCTTTTCTTCAGCAGGGACAGGGAAGATGGCGAAAATTGATGGGAAGATGGATGAAGCCAAATACAGGACCATTCTGGAAGAAAACCTTGTTGGAGTCTGCAAAAGACCTGAGACTGGGACGGAGATTTATCTTCCAACAGGACAATGATCCAAAACATAAAGCCAAATCTACAATGGAATGGTTCACAAATAGACGTATCCAGGTGTTAGAATGGCCAAGTCAAAGTCCAGACCTGAATCCAATCGAGAATCTGTGGAAAGAGCTGAAGACTGCTGTTCACAAACGCTCTCCATCCAACCTCACTGAGCTCGAGCTGTTTTGCAAGGAAGAATGGGCAATAATTCCAGTCCCTCGATGTGCAAAACTGATAGAGACATACCCCAAGTGACTTGCAGCTGTAATTGCAGCAAAAGGTGGCGCTACAAAGTATTAGCGCAAGGGGGCCGAATAATATTGCACGCCCCACTTTTCAGTTTTTTTTTGTTAAAAAAGTTTAAATTATCCAATACATTTAGTTCCACTTCACGATTGTGTCCCACTTGTTGTTGATTCTTGACAAAATTTTAATTTTTTATATCTTTATGCTTGAAGCCTGAAATGTGGCGAAATGTTGAAAGGTTCAAGGGGGCCAAATACTTTCGCAAGGCACTGTATTTGTTTAACTCTGAGTGGTGATTGGGGAGTGATGTTTGACCTTTTTTTGTTCACTTTTCGCTTTTACTGTTTCTTAAGATGTGAGAGAGGTCCAAAAATGCATGTGAAAACCAAACCGCTTTAGAGCCAGAAACGTCTTAGAATTCTTTTTTTTTTTTTACATTGTTGTTTTTGTTTGTAAGTTTGATACCCCAGCTTTAATAACATTCTAACTTGGTCTCCCCAGAGCCTGTCGGAGAGCTCCCTGGACAGCCCACCGGATGAAAGAAGAGCTCCAACTTCGCTGCAGAGACCAACTCCGGAGCATCCAGTCCAGTTCACGGCCAGGAGCACCGAGCGGACGAGACACACCACGTTTATCATCGGAGAAACGCCTCAGAGCATTTGCAGGTATCGAATTTTAAATGCTCGATGATGTGATTTGTTGGCACCAACTTCTTGTCCGCTTGGGGATCGAAACGTGCAACCCACAAAAGATGAACTTAATGTAACTAATGTAACTGTCACAAGAATTACGATGTTGACGTTTCCTTCAATAACTGATGGATAGAACGATATATTTTGGGGCTCAATAGATATCAGTCGATTTTCTGTGATAAACAATGAGATTTTATTCTGGAGGTTCTGAAAGACTTCATTCTGCTGTTTTTATTTTATTTTTTTATCTCAACCCCTGATTATTATTATTTGTTTTAGAGAAATAGTCAAATGAAAGCATGTCTTTACTGGGACTTTTGTGCTGTATTGTACTTTTTTCTGTGGCATAAAGTAATATAAATATCTTTAGTTTATCGCTATCATTTCCTGAATCGATCAAAATGAGTAATCTTATGTATTTCTCTACTTTTTTTTCACACCTCGTATTTTTATAGCAGTTATATTCAGACAGAAATGTTAAAGAGAAATACCACTCCTACCCATTATATCAGCTCTGATTGGCGGAGTGCAAAAGATTCACAAAGCTTTTTCTTTCAAGTATGCCAGTATTTTTATGTATTACCACAGCTTTAATGTAATGCTGTTTGTGGAGAATACTCTCTGAATACATGGATGAAGGAAGAACCAGTGATGAGTTTTACCCATAATTCACTGCTGCGTTTAAACATCAGCAGGACAAAATGAATGTGTATAAGGAGAGAGAGTTTTACATGGAGAGAGAAAAAGACAAATGAATAACTAGAGAAAGACTTGAGAAGCCCAAAGAAAGAGGACGTAGGGCTTTTTGGGTTTGCAACATTGGTAATTGGCTTACATGTACACTGCAAAAAGTGATGAAAAATAGGTCAAAAATGTGAATCTCAATTTGATCACATTTTGACTGCCTTGAAACAAGATATGCCAATAAGACAAGCAAAATGATCGTGTTTTAAAAAGATACAAGAAATGTCTCCCTTTGAATGAGAAAATAAAGTAACAGTTCTTGAAATTAGAACTAAATGGCTTTGTCCCATCAACTCACATTTGATCATTTTATTTTTCATTGCAGTGTAAGATATCACATTACAATTTTTTTTTAAAAACCATTTTTTTCTCTTACCATTTTAACTTGCTGTGTTTTCTGTCTCATAGGCAACAAATGCAAGAGATGGCAACACAGCTACAGTTTTCTTCAGTGGAACAGTTTGCCACAGAGATTCTGAAGAGCACCTCAAACCAAAGAGTGTCCTGGTTACAACGTTACTACATGTCACTGGATCATCCCGATCTGTCTAATACAATCACAAAGCACTTTCCATCTCCCATTTCTCCAAAGCCAATTACTCCAATGCCAGTTTCTACAAAGCCAGTTTCTACAAAGCCAGTTTCTCCAAAGCCAGTTTCTTCTACGCCGTCACAGGCTGCAGAGGTTACTTATAAAAAAACTACAAAGGAAACAACCAAAACTATTTCAAATCACAACCCGCGCAAAAAAGCAACTAGTCAAGAAGTTCACGAGAAAAGGAAAAGGAAAGATCCGTTTGAGAATATTCCAAGTCCAGAAGCAGATTGGCCAGAGGAAAAAGTTGAGATCACCAGCGGATTTATAAAGAAAAGACGAGAAAAGGATGAGAGCGTCTTGAACCAAACGTTTTTGAGAAAAGACTCACAAATGATCCCAGATTTACCTCCTGCTCCAGCCAAGCCGTCTTTTCAGGACACAAAAAACTCGCAGACATTTCCTAAGAATTCCCAAGAACCGAAGACAAAAACGGAAACTTCCCCAAGCACAAACGAGAAGTCTTATCTTACAGATCTAATAGGAGACACCTCAATACTGGATGATCTGTTCAGACCGAAAAGGAACTCGTCAAAAACGTCATCTCCCCTGTCAACAAATCACAGTAAACCATCATCGTCTAAGAACTTTGATCATAGTCCTAGCTCTCAAAAAACCGCATTCAAAACGGCCACCAAGGACTTCTGGGACGTCCTGCAGGAAGGGGACGAGGAGAGTTTGAATAGACTGACGGACCCGGCCGAAGTGCAGAGAGTTTGTGTGAACACGAACATCGCAGCGAGGCATCAACACAAACAAGAAGAGAGCAAAAGTCTGTGGAAACCCAACGAGAATTTTTTATGGAAGAAATAAGTTTTTAGAGTTTGAACAATGAATCATTTGAGATAATGTTTCCCGCATGTTCTTAAATATGTTTTGTTTAATGGCAAAAACAACAATGATGAGGTATTGGTATCGTTTTAATGTTATTATATTGAGTTACGTGCCTTGTTTACATGTGATTTTAATTTACAGTGTTTTGAAGCCATGGAAATGGTCAACAAACCAAGTCTATACTTTTTATTATAACCGTTGTAGTTATATATTCCTTTCATTTTGTATTGCTGGAAAAGGACAAATATGTTTACTGTTAACTGTACATAACGCTTTTATTATCTCCTCATGGATATTTTTCTTGTACAGATCTTGATAAAAAATGTGTAGTCTGTTTGAATTCTCTTGATAATGATGAACTGAATAAAACATCAGTGAAATCGCCATAAAAACATAATTTACTTCATCATTATTTTTTGTTTTATGTTATTATGTTTATCCAGTAATATTGTATGTGCAAATATAGAAATGTGTTTTTTTTATTGTTAGGGTTTTGTATGTGGTATATTATAAAGATTCAGAAATCGATCGACTAAAACGGTATCAATACAAGTGCAAGAACATTAAAGTGCTCTCTTCAAACAGCTTGTGGGAAGAAGTTGTTAGCATATCGAGATGTCCTGCATCTCAGTGAACGATATCTTCTGCCAGAAAGAAGAAGCTGGAACATGGCTTTTCCCGGGGCCAGAGGAATCATTGATTATTATTATTTAGCTCGGTTTAAAAGTCTGGATAAAGAACCTCCAGAACAGGAAGCTCACAGCTCACAGTCCTCTTTGCAGAGCGGAGCACCTTGTTTAGAGCTCTCCTTTCTTTGTCTATTGAGACGTACTATATGAAATGAGTAATTTTCTTTATTAACTTTTTGTTTTTGATGCCGTTGATTCAGGTATTTGTCACATCAACTGTATATTGTGGTTATGATAACAGAGGTTTTTGTCACATATAGCTAACTACAATTCGAACCATTTAGTTAGCTTTATGGCTGCATTCGATCCCAGGGCTTTCAGAAAGTCTAAATGTTTTGTTCGATGATGCTTCTTCTGTTCCCTACAATTTTGGATGAGTTTCAAATGATAGATTTCAAAGCAACAGTATTGATTATGAATGTGAATGATCTTAAAAACAGCCTGTATATTTGTCATTCCTGATGGACTCGGGGATGTGTCGGGGGAACACTGGGCCTTTGTATCCTGTGAAGTTCAGAATGGTACAGTACGGTCTCTATAGAAGGAAGCACTGCCCCAAACGCTGCCTCTGAGTTGTTTTGTTTTGCAGAAATGAGAAAGTGCTGATGGCTATCAATAAACAGATGACAGCTTTTCTTGCCCTGACAAGTCTCTCAGCGCTGAAGAACGAGAGAGCTGCTGCGACAGGCTTCAGGGTGGTCCGTCTGTACCTTCACATCTATATCTGCCTTGTACAGGTCAGAGGCAGGTACATATACGCGCTGGTTGTTGGAAATATTGTTGGATCGGGTATCGGTTTATTTGTCGATACCCCATACCCTGATTTATTGGTTGATATTATTAATCAGAATTATAGTTTTCACTTTTACTAAAAAATTTTCTGATGGTAAAAATTCAAATGAATGTCAATATTAAATTTGAACTGTGTCCTTCATCAATGTTATTAGGGTTTTTTGAAGACATAAAATATAAAAACCGTGTATAATGTTCTCGTAGCGAAAGATCTTTAAATACTGCAGGCTTTATTATGTTGAACACTGTCAGAATGCACTAATCATTGGAAATACATTCTGATTATTAGAGACACTTATAGTTTTTGTGTACATGTGGAATTTTTTTTCCTTTATGTTGTTTTTTTATCATTTGTGTCCATTGTTTGTCAGATTTCTCCTTTTTTTATTTTGCTTATATTTCTGTTGTTTCTCTGTCAAAAAATAATCTGTATTTGCAGGAATAATACTGCGTAAACACAATTGGATGCATGTTGAAACAATTTAGCTGTGATTTGAGGTTCCGGTTCGTTCTCTAGTATTGGTTCATATCGGGTATGGGCAAATATTGAAATCCACAGTATCAAGATCGGTATTGGACAGTTAGACTCCTGGATCTATAGTCTGTCCGTCCGTGGGAGCAGATCCCTCTCTCAATATGGGCCTCCTTGGGGTTTCTTACTTCTTTCCCACAGGGCTTTTGAGTCATTCCTTGCCGATGCGAAGGATCTAAGGACAGTGATGATCCAGGACGGCCTTCCGCTTACTATGGACCAATGGCTCATATATGTTTTTTGTGTGTTGCATTTCTGTGTTTGAACTGTTTGATTCTCTGATCTGTTTTTGGCAAATCCAAGTCCTCTAAGATGACTGCCGTTGTTATTTAGTGCTATACAAAAATAAATTGAACTGAATAGAATTGGATATTTAAAAAACTGGATTGGTCCGTCGGGCGGCACGGTAGTTGAGTGGATAGCACTCTCGCTTCTCAGCAAGAAGGTCCTGGGTTCGAATCCCGGTCGGAACGGCCTTTCTGAGTGGAGTTTGCATGTTCTCCCCGTGTCTGTGTAGGTTTCCTCCGGGTGCTCCGGTTTACCACTAAAAATATGCACAATAGGTTAAATGTAAATGAGAGAGTGAATGGATGGTGTTGATTGGGGGCTGATGCATCAGTGTGTTTGGCGACTCGCTTCCGTCATCACCGTGTGTGGAATGATTGGAACAATATCTGAACTCTGACCATTGTAAAGCGCTTTGGGTGACCTTGGTCTGTAAAATATGCGATATAAATAAACATTACCATCCCTGCATCTGAATAGCTTGGTATTATACTGTATGAATTCAGCTTGGTTTAGGTGGCTGCAACCAGTGAATAATAGTCATTGACACTGTTTCTTTTTGTTTTCAGCCGTACTTGCACTTACTTCTCTCCTGCCGGACAGGTTTGACATCTGTACCCATCTGAGAGTTCGTTTTCCAGCCGTTCTCATCACCACATGAAGGACAAGGTGAGGTCTGTTTAAATTCTTTCTCCTATAGCCTGACTGTCATCATGCAGAACGTTTCAAACCGGACGCCTCCTTCAGCAGAGCCGTACCTGTGCTCCTGTCTCGTGGTTTATTTTAAAAGTCACCATTGACGTGTGGTTTGGTTTCATTAGCTCAAAGCTGTGAATGAGGCGTGACCTGTTTTAACCTGGGCCTCTCCTACCTACACCATGGACTATGTCACTCAGTTCTAATGGAAGGCTGGAAAAGTACAGAAAGACAGATTGTACGTTAGTTACAGTTTTAATTTAAAACTTGCACAAAAGTAAATTCACACTACAACATAACAGATAAACGTCCAATATGACAAGACTGTATGAATATGGTATCTGTGTGTATCTCTACACAAAATTAAGACTCAAGAACTCAGATTAGTTTTCACCTACAGTATATATCTATATGACAGTCTTGTGGTTTTTGTGTGTGCAATTCTTTAACAGAAGTAGGTTGTACACATATAGTAGTGGAGTCGTTGCGCTTGTTTTTGGAGAGAAAAAAACCACACAAATATGAGAATCTATATAATGTCAAAGTAGGTCAATATTTAAATCTGGGATATCTATTTTATTTTATTTTTTCAAATTTAATGAATCCATGATGTTTGTCTCGACAGAGTCTCATTTAAGTAAAAGTTGTGAACAAATCTGGCTTCACAGACTCTGACTTTAAAAATGGGGGTGAGCTAACCCCTAAGCTGGGTTTGAATCCCGATCGAAACAGGGCCTTTCTGAGTGGAGTTTGCACGTTCTCCCCATGTCCATACCATTAAACACATGTACAATACCTCTGGCATGCGCCTCCTGTACACAGACCCCACTCCCATCTCTGTGTGGACAGAGACTAATTTCCACAACAATTGCAAAGCGCTTTGTAAGGCTGGTCTGTGAAAGACGTCTTCAAATTAAGGGTTACTTACTTTAATAACTTCTTTGTGGCACCAGAAACCTCGAAAGTTTCTCCAACAAAGTATTAAAACCAAACAGCCATTGGTCAGGGATTTTCACATTTAGGCTTGAAGTTAGAAAACATTTAATATTCTATGTAAGGTGATTTTTTTAGACAATTCAAATCATTCTCCTATAACCACCCACAAAATAATGTCTTCTATTTCTCCCACTGTTTTTCTGTCACCGATCTTAAACAATACACTACTATAAAACAATATATAACCAGTTTTAGATTAATAATTCATTGTGTTGCTTGTCATCTGTCTGGTGGTCTAGTATCTCCTCCTTTCTGAACTTATAACATGGAAAGCGTCTCCCTATGTGGTAAATATTGAGATCAGTTCGTGGAAGAAAGACTTTTCAGAGGGCCCTGCTCATCTGTTTTGTTGCCAAAGACTCTCGCAGCATTTGATCCATTATTTAGTGTAGAGAGCGTCCGTATACAAGCTCGGCCTCCCGCTCCAGCTGCAGCCCGGCTCTGTTTATGTTTGGAGGGCCCTTTGCCTTGAAGTGAGGCTATACAAGCAAACCCAGCCATATGTGAGCACTCAGTGGCCCCACCACTTTCCATTTCTTTGCTTCAATTAGCTTTCGTTCTTTCTTTACCCGTGCTGTACTTTCTGCAGCCTTTTTTTCAATCATCGCAGAGGAGGTTGTGTCAAAAGTTTATCATAGCCTTGTACTTTGACAATCTCAGCTATAGCAGAGTATACGTTTTTCTGACCGGGACATAGTTTTCTGCTTGCGAATAGGTACAGTACTGATTCAGGAGAAAATATAGATAGATCACTTGTATTCTGTCTATCAGTAAAATCATATTAAAGCTCGGGTACCCAACTTTTCTCCCTTCATATATCAATAATACATTGTCTGTCCCGAGAGAAAATTTTTGTAAGCAAATCAGACCACAACATTCCATCTTCATCTTGTTAGAAATAATTTTATCTTTTGCATAGAAAAGGTTGGTTGTTCACTTGTATTGGGTCTATAAGTAAAATCATATTAAAGCTGGGGTACCCAACTTGTTCCCCTTCATATATGAATAATACATTGTTTGTCCCAAGAGAAAGAGTCTTGTAAAAGTATAACGTTGAGAGCACATCAGACCACAATTTCCTGTCTCCATCTTATGAGAAAGCATTTTATATCTTTTGCATTCTTGTGCCATGCGAGTTGCTGTTTGACGCTTTGGGTTGAGACCTGATGAGTGAGTGAGTGAGTGAGTGTGGGTGGTCCTCTGTTTTTCCCTTTCCTGTCTCAAAATACTAATCTCAAAATGTGGCAAGCCAAAAATACATGCATGTGATTGAACCAAACTGTTTTGAGAGCGGGCAAAGACTTTTACTTGGGTCATTTTGTGGTTTAGGGTTTAAGTTAGGTACCCCTGCTTTAACCACATCTTTAACTCTATTTACTCACAGTGTCTTCTGTTGCTGGGACTGTTTTGATAGAAAACAGGTCTGTAGTTACATGAGGTATAAGTTTTAATATTGCGTTTTAGTGGTATAGTGTTTTAAGGGTGAAGTTTGTCATTTTGCAGCAATTTCTAAATCTTTTAAATCTCCTTTTCTTCTCAACCTGCTATTTTTGAAACGCTATCATTTAACTGTCATCCTGTACAGAATTATATTTGATCAACAGCGTTTGACATTTTTAATTAAAAGGTCCCATGAATTAACTGCTGCATTGAACTGCGGAGCACCGGAGGTTAGGAAAGTCCCAGGTGTAAAATAGACATTTATACACCACACAAGAAGTCACTCCAGAGAAGGGGACCGAGGGGAATTCCAACAACAAAAATGGGAGATTTCAGCAAATTCTGTAATGATAACTGTATGAAAATGGGAGTAATGGAGGTGGTGACGCTCTTCTCTTTTGTTAGGGTTCTTGTCTTTGATCATTTTATTGCTCTTGATAACAAGTAAAACCTTTTTATTTTATTTAAAGTAGGATAAAACAATGTATCTTTCATAGGTTTTATTGCATTGTCTACTGAACACGTGCTGATTTAATAATAATATAAAAAGAAGTCAAAGGCTCCGTTATAGATTACGTTTTTTAGTTTAGGATTTCAAGTCTGTACTTCTGCATGAAAACTTTGTATGTAGCGCCCTCTGTTGCCCACTCCTGGTTAGGACAATGTAATAATGGGTTTTCTCATTTGTTTGAATTGTCGTTATCTTCATCCCTGTTATTTTTTTGGGAGCGAGTATGTAAGTAACTCCTAGAGAATTGTATTGCCAGGAACTAGTGAAACAAATCTGTGTTTTCTGTATCATACACAACATGCAACAAAAAAAGTCATTAGCTAAAGTAGAAACAATTATGACAAGACATACTTTCATACATTATTATTATTATTATTATTATTATTATCACAAAACTATAAACTTGATGTCATATGTCAAAACATGAAAAAAAAAAAGGATAGGAGGAGCTAATTTACAAGATTTCATACTATGACTGAAACATTAGATTGTGAGAACTCTCTGTTCTTTGTGTAGTCAAACATTGAACAGTTTCAATGCTTGAATGGATAAACAACGGCTGAAGAATGCTGTTTTTGTTTATTTACATTTCAAGAACACATTGACTTCTTTTCTACTAACAACATTCTGAAATGCAAAACATCAAGAAGATTTGCCAAATAAGTGCCATCAGTCATGAACTTTACGCATAACTTTCAAAGTGAGAGGCTATTGTTAGCTATTGAGTTGAGTTGAGTTGAATGTTTCAAATCCAGGTTAAAAACAGTTCTGTTTATCTGTGCATTTGATTGAGGGATTTTATCTTTACTCTTTTAATGCACTGTGGCTTTTTATGATGTTTTAAGGTGTTTAATTTCTTGTGTGATTTTATTTTTTATGTTTTTAATATATGTTTGTTTTTTAATGTCCTGTCGAATTTGAATTGTATTGTTTAATGTTTATGTTTTATGCCTGATGTGATGTGGGTAGTGAGATGCTTTGTGTTGCCTTGTGTGTAAAGGCGCGCTAATGAAAAGTTTATTGGTTGATTGATTGAATGTACATCAAACATTAATTATCAAATGTCACTACCACATTTTTCCGATTAACAGTCGCAGTTTTTGTCATAATAATAATAATTCATTTTATTTCATAGCGTCTTTCAAGACACCCAAGCCTTACAATAGTTTGACCGGGGGTGCGACTCATACTCTGGATACTCAGAAAAATATGGTACATAGAATTTTCAAGCAAATTCTTTCATTTACAATCACTTATTACAATATAAGTCATTGTAAATGTAATATTATCTATTCATTCCTTAATTCATTCTAATCCCTTTATTAACCATTTCTGGGTCAGGGGGTGGCAATCAGAGCTGCCACCCAATTCACAAAGCACCAGTGCCTCAGTCCCTTGCTGGTCCTCCTGCAGGTGGTGGGTCCACAGGAAGATGGCTGCTCCTTCAATGACGATACGGCCTTGGTGTTTCACCGGGGGCTTCAGGCAAAGTGGGTGAAGTGTCTTGCCCAGGGATACAACGACAGCAGACATCAGTGGAAGCAGATGACAGGGGTCGTGGTGGGATCGAATCCACAACCATTAGGTCCAAAGACTAATGCTCTGTCATTCTTATCTATCTACTTTCAAAATATTTTATTTTCAGAGACGTTTTACAAGCCATTATCATAACAACAAATAAGTCCTGATATTTGTAATAAGTCTGCCATACAGTACATTAGTTTCACATTGTAAGCTGAATCACAAAAGTAAAAGAACTTTTAAACAATATTCTAACTTTCATTAAATTATACAGACTATAAAAGTGATGGGCAAACTCCGGCCCGGGGGCCAAATGCGGTCCTTTGGACGTTACTGTCAGGCCCCTGATCCCTCAGCAGTGTATAGGGATAGTATAAAGACTATGAAATCCGTCTTAGCTATTTGAACAATTGAGCCCCTTAAAAACTCATACCAGACCTGACCTGTATTTTATCTTTTCTCTTTTGTATTTTTTTCCTTTATTCCTGGATTGCACAACATGTAAATCTTGTTTCGTTCTCTTTCCAGGATTTGTTTTGCTTCCATAAAAGCAAAAAAAAAAGGAAATCCCTCTTTGCTGCGCTCCCCGCTCTGCCCTGATTGATACTATTATTATTATTATTATTATTATTATTATTATTACTTTTACTATGTATTCACGTGCAAAAAAATAAGTCTGAGAAAAAACATTGAGAGTGAAGTCCGACCCCCGACAGCAGGACAATATTCCAACGTGGCTCTCAGGACGAAAAGTTTGCCCATGCCTCGACTATAATCTACTTTTCCAATCGTTGAACATATAAAAAGTTCTGAGATGTCGTATTAGGATTTTTTAAGTGCTTTCCCGACACTATCTTTTAGACTTTTTTGCCATGATTTTGTGGAAAGCAATCTGGAGGGAATATTCCGCAGTAACCATCCCTGTAATTAAAAAAACGTGTAGAAATTAGAATCATATCAGTTTTGAATATATTTGAGCGTAAAAACACACTCACCATCATAGTGTGAGTGACGCTTCCGTATGTTTTGTCCCCAGCTCGGAGGTACTGCAGAGAGGTGTTCACAAAGTCCTCTGGAGACAAGACTATAGCATTAGTCTCCTGGTACAAAGTCATCCGGGTGGAGATACTGAACGGAGCAACCGCCTAAAAAAAAAAAAACACCCTAAGTAAAGATTATTTTTGAATGCTGTATTCAACGTGTACCGTGTAATGTTTTTGTACAATCATGGTTTAGATTTTCTTTGTGTATTCGTGGTGAAAATCATCTCAGACCTGTCAATAACAAACATTAGACAGTCCAATCAACCCACATAAAACACATCAGCAGGCTTTTGGCAAGATCCGATTCAGTTCAAATTCTCATTTTCTGACAAAGCTTTCTGCATATTCCACTCAGTACAACATGTCAAATTATGAAAGGTGCAAAATTGTGGCTATAATCTGGAAGGAAATCCAGAACTTACATTAAAAACAGATGTGTTGTCTGTTATTGGAATATTATGTTAATTAAAACATTATCAACATTCAAAACCACCTTAAAATGTAAAATAATGAATTCATTTACTTTGCCTTAAATGAATTGATATAATAATATTAATAAAATATATTGTTCTAGAAAATATATATTCATATGTATTCATTCATTCAAATGGTTAACTGTACCCGAGCAAGTATCACAATCAATAATCTCAGTCTGTGTTTCAGTATTTGCACTGCAACAGTTTGTGCCTGTTACCGTCTAAGGTTTATTAAGGACATTCACCTGAGGGTCATAGAAAGTGTTCATCTGTTCATCTTACATGGTGCTGTTATTTTCCAGAGTGACAGATGTGACATTGGGCCATGGCTTTTGGGCAAGATAAGTGCACACTAGGCGGCTATTTTCGGCCCAGTTTGGTGTCCCACAGGAGACCTCCCTGAATTTTTAGTAAAAAGGGCCACTTAAGTTCACCTGAATTGTTCAGGCTGTTCTGAGCTTTAACATGAGGTACGACATGTCTATATCGGTTCACATTTGACGCAGCTGAAGTTGGCTGAATGACAAATGTTTACACAAAGTCAGTAGAGTCAAACAACGTCATTAACTAGACTTCAGAGGTCCTGAGCTGCACAACGATGAGTAACATGCCTAAGGGTGTAGAGCTAAAGTTGGCTGGATGACACTGTGAACTTGGGTTTATGGTTGCTTTTGATTAGCAAGGAAGAGGAGCAATTAAAGTGACACAGAGGGCTCCAATTGGCCCACAGGCCTTAATTTGTTTTGATATATATTTTAGGAAAACAATATAATGGGTTAAAAAAATCTTGTCCAATCTTGTTCAGTTAAACAGATAATGAAGCAGCAATTAACTAGGACTGTCTAGTACCAACTATAATTAGAAAAAATACAAAAAACCTCACAACAAGTTTCATTCTATACTACACAGGTAAAAACAAGGGAAAGGTAAATTGGAAACTGGTTTGTGGGCTGGATCAGATGACTTGGGCCTGATTTGTTGAAAATACTTTCTTACCCAACTTGCTCATCAAACCTTTTTCTTTGTTTTTTTTTATCTGCATTTTTCCTCCAAGTCAGACTGTTTTATTTATCCCACCAGGGGCAATTCATCTGAGCAGCATAAGGGCATACAAACACATTAACTGTCTTTTGATCTAAACAAAAGTATGACTGATATACAAATGAAACAAGCAGAAGAGAGTTATGAAAAGAACACACTTTTTCGTGGCTTCATACTGTATAAGTTGCATTTTTAAACAAGCCATTTGTGAATTAAAAAAGCAATACATTGTAGTTTGGGCTGAATTTGTTGTGGAGTGTATGCTAGTTGATGCTGGTTACTGAATTTCTCCAATATTAATAATAATAATATTTTTTTTAAAGCAACATCCATCCATTTTCTTCCCCTTAATCCATTTCTGGGTCGGGGGGTGTGAGACACAAATGAATCGTATATGCCTCAGTGAAAACTAACAGTTATTTGAGAGAGAAAAAAAGACAATAACAAAAATTCAAGCAAACATAAACTTGAGAAGCTACCTGTATAACGATTCCTTTTTTCTTGTACTCGACTTGAAGAGCTTGAGAAAACCTTTCAACAAAGATCTGTAGGTGTGGCAAACATTTGAATCGGTCTTGTATTAACATCCAAACAAACTTGTGGATACAGGGAGATGTAGGGGATATGAACATGTGTGTTTGTACACAGAGAAGGATAGGAAAAAGAGCAAAGATGGTGGTGTGGATGGATCAACTCGTTTTTCTGTGCAGACTTCCATTTACACACACCTCTGCTCTCTCTCTCTCTCTCTCTCTCTTTCTCTGTCTCATAAACAAACACACCGCACTCTCTCTCTCTCACACACACACACACACACTTCTGCTCTCTCTCACACACACACAAACACACCTCTGCACTCTCTCTCTCTCACACACACACCTGCACTCTCTCTCGCTCTCTCTCTCTCTCACACACACAAACACACCTCTGCACTCTCTCTCTCTCTCTCTCGCTCTCTCACACACCTGCACTCTCTCTCGTTCTCTCTCTCACACACACCTCTGAACTCTCTCGCTCTCTCTCTCTGTCTCTCTCTCACACACACCTCTGCACTCTCACGCGCACACACACCTCTGCACTCTTTCTCTCTCTCTCACACACATGCACACACACCTCTGCACTCTTTCTCTCTCTCTCACACACGCACACACACCTCTGCACTCTCTCTTTTTCACTCTCTCACACACACACACCTCTGCACTGTCTCTCTCACACACACACACCTCTGAACTCTCTCTCGCTCTTTCTCTCTGTCTCTCTCTCACACACACCTCTTAACTCTCTCTCGCTCTCTCTCTCTCGCTCTCTCTCACACACACCTCTGAACTCTCTCTCTCTGTCTCTCTCGCACACACACCTCTCTACTCTCACACGCACACACACCTCTGCACTCTTTCTCTCTCTCTCACACACGCACACACACCTCTGCACTCTCTCTTTTTCTCTCTCTCACACACACACACCTCTGCACTGTCTCTCTCACACACACTTAAACCCACACACCCATGTAAATGTCCACAACGCTGTCTGTTCTTTGCCACTGTCTTGTGTTTGTATGTCTGCACTTGTGTCGTGTGTCTGTATTTTCAACAATAACAGAGACAAAAACAAACAAAAACACCTTAGAAGCAGAGTACAATGTGTAGAGAGGGAAAGGGACTGAGGCCACACCGGACGAGATGTTGATCACGACTCCTCTCCTCCTGCTCAAGCACAAAGCAACAATTTAAAACAGTAACTTAACTTTATCAGAAACTTTATCTGAGGAATTTATGATTATGTAACCACAACCTGTGCACCATCCCGGGTAAAATGATCCTGCACATCTAGAAGACAAAAACTGTAAACGGTGATAATATGAACGCTTTGCAGGATTTGTTTTCAACCTTACCTTCGCCATAGTTTTCACATTGCAGTTGATTATTTTGGTTATAACCTGCAATATAAAAATCTATTAGGACCTCTTTTTGAGACTGGGGGATCTGCCGCCTGATTCAACATGAATATTGACCTAGAATCTTTTCTTTTGAAACTCGGAAACTTAGAATATCTTTCAAAAGTCCACTTACTTCTGTAATTTAGCTAACAATGCAACACGCAAAGTGAGATGTCTGAAGCCTGTTAAGTTCATTTTGTCTTATCTTTATGGCTCAGAAGGTTCTTTAAATAAGAACCTATTTTTTTTTTGTTCTGACCCACATTGTTACTAAAGTCTCCATATCTTAAGTGATGACATCTCTGTTCTTATGCACATTTCTATAAAATCATATAAAAAAAACATTGTCTGCTCTTGTCCAATCTGGAGGGACCCGAAAATAAACCGTGTTACAGTGCAGTCGCGGATGCCTGGTTTCATTTGTCCATCCATCCATTTTCTTCCCCCTAATACATTTCTGGGTCGGGGGTGGTAGTCAGAGCGGCCCCCAATTCACAGAGCACCAGCCCCTCACTGATCCTCCTGCAGGTGGTGAGTCCACAGGAGGATGGCTGCTCTGTCAGTGAGAGCACAGCCTTGTTATTTCAGTGGGGGCTTCAGGCAAAGTGGGGTGAAGTGTCTTGCCCAAGGACGGTCGGTGGGGAAGGTCTCGTGGTGAACTCAGATTTACGACCTTCAGGCTCTGAGGCCAATGCTCTACCAACCGAGCCACCATTGCCCCCTGTCTTCATTTAGTACTGCTTACAGTAATTACCTGACATGTTTCGGCACTAGACTTCTGCCTAGGTTATAATTTTGATAATAATGGCTTTCAGTCCATCAACTTCATAACAAAGTCCAGGCATATGTAACTTGGAATGTAGTGCGTCTATATCATATATTGGTTTCGCATATTGAGTAGAATCACAAAAATAAAATTCAACATTGACTATCTATCTATACCCGTTGATTATGGTTCTAAATAGATATATGATTGATTATGGGAAGAAGCTCCGATCACACACTCATTCATCCACATTCACACCTGGAGACCCCTCAGGCCTCATGGCAGGGTCATGGCCCTGGTTTACCCAACAGCAAAAACTATTGCATTGTAATGGAACAGTATTCTAATTTTCCAAGTTAGACCTGTATTAAGGATTATTTTTTCTTCATCCTACTATTGTTCTTTTTTCATAGAATGTTTTACTGTTGTACTTACTGGATTGCTGTGGTATTTTGTTGCATTACCATGAAAAAAATTGAGCAAAATAAAGGGACAAATATCGTGTTTTCAATTACCGTGTCCAGATTTTGTGGTGTGGAGAATCTGGAAGGGATCGCACTCGGCAATATACCCACATTATTGACTGAAAAAACAACAATTCAGCAATCATTTATAGTGTCTTATTTAAGTCTTTATTTTTTTTGAGAGAAAATGGATCACCCAGTACTCCAATGTCCATGTCCTTCAGTTCATCCTCAATGCATTTGAAAACATCGTCTTTGGTGAAGTCTGCTACAATGACTTTGGTGTTCTTGCCTGTCGAGTCACCTGCAGACATATAAGGAACGTGAGAAACTTACTTTAAGCTGGTGTACTTAGCTTTCAAACCACAAAAAGACAACTGTGTAATAACACCCTTGTAACGTCTTTGTCGCAAAACTGTTTGGTTCCATCACTAGTTTTCAGACAGAAAAGTGAAGGAGAACCACCGTCACTCAGCCAATCAGTCCATCGGTGACTAACATAACTGTTTCTTAACACTAAAACTCCCAGAGCAGTCAATTTGACGTAAATGTTTGGTCTTCATAACTTTGTAACTTTGTCAGTATCTGTAGTAGTAGTAGTGTATATATCTATGCAATTATGTTTATGACATTATCTCGATCCAGACTGGTCCTAGACTGGTTCAGAGCAATCTCAGCCTGGGGCAAGTGCTAGTTACCATAGCAACATGCTGTTTACATGCATCAGTTTGTTAGCAGCTAATTTTGCTCTATTTCATTCATATTAACCAGTTTTAGCATGTATTAAAGATTAAACCCATATGAATTACTTACATTTAATACTTTTTTGTAAGAAATTTCTTTTTTTTTTTTTTTAACTTTATTTTTATAATTTTTCAAAAATAAGTAGACAATATACCATAGCCAATATACAGAAACATACACAAACATAAAAAAAGAAAAAAAGAAAAACAAACACACAAAAAACAACAAACACAAAAAACAGTAATAAAATAACAAGGAGGAACAAGTTCAGTCCATCAGAAGATATACACAACACAAATACTGTAAATGACATAAATATAAATATAAATGGCCTTTACATCAGATCAGCCCCAATTCCACATCGTACCATACCCGTCTATTTGGTTGAGACAATGCCTATGCACTATCAGGGGACTCACACATGCAGACACACCGCACCAGACACCCATATCTATTGTCCCTCACCAGCATCCCAAAACACACTCCCACTCCTCTTGGCCCACTCCACATGCTCTACCCGTATACTTGCATACGTATCCACACACTTCATTATTATTATCTATTTTCCATTTGTTTAAATCCATTATCACTTCAATCCCACACAATATACACCTACAACACTTTCCTAGGTTCAGCAACAGGGTTTTTTTTTTTAATTTCTTTTTTTATTGATTTATTGATCCCCCTTAGTAGAAATTAGTCCCAACGTACAATCAACCTCCGCTGCACAGTCACAGTTAACCACTGATTCACAATATTCATGTGCTGTCCATTTCTTTTATAAACCATTTTTTGTCAAACTCATGGTCCATGTTCCTTATTTTGTGAGTTAACTTCTCGTTCAGTTTTACTTCTTGTATACTATTAATCCATTTTTTAATATCCAGTGGATTACTTTTTTTCCACTCCTTTGTTATGATCTTTAATGCTGTGATTCTAAGAATTTGAAAAATATACTTTTCATCTGAGTTTATATTCATTGGGATTTTTCCTAATATAATATTTTCTGATTTTAAATCAAGTTTCTTTCCCAGTATCGCTTCAACAATTTGAAATACTTCTTTCCAGTAGGGTTGTATTATTTTACAGGTATAAAAAATATGTGTGTAGTTTGCAATTTCTTCTCCACAATTCCTCCAACATTTGCAATTTCCCCCTTTATATTTACTCATACTTTCTGGAGTCAAGAAGTATCTCATAATTATTTTCCAAGCAAACTCTCTCCAGAATAAGGAACCCATGGATTTATGGACTCCAGCACAAATCTGTTCCCACTCACTTTCGGTTATTTGTATATGAAACTCTTCTTCCCATTTTACCTTAACGTTGGTTGCCATTTTCTCTTTTTGTTGCAGAAAAATTTGGTATAACTGACTCATAGCATTTTTTAATTTCTTATGAACATTATTTGCCATATAAGTTATCAGGGGGTTTAGATCACCTTTAATCTTTCCTAATTTACTATTCAAATAGCTTCTAATTTGCAGATATTTATAAAAATGATTTCTTGGTATGTTATATTGTTTAGAAATGTTTTCAAAAGATTCCATTTGACCATTTTTAAACAGTTGATGGAATCTCGTGAGTCCATTCTCTGCCCACGTATTAAACAGTTGATCTGTTGCGTTTGCCTTAAATTCAGGGTCTCTAGATATTTCCCTCAGATAAACCATTTCTTCCTCCTTTATCTTCATGCATTTAATAACTCTCTTCCACACCTTAATGGTGTTTTCTATACAGTAGTTATTCTTTATTTCTTCTTTGAATTCTTTATCTTTAGTTATAAATATAGCAGATTTAATTAAATATAACTTATGTGTTTCCATTTCTTTCCATCTTGGATTATTAGAATCGCTTATCCAAGTGTTAGTATTAGATAGCAATATGGCCTACGTGCAGGACTCCACAAGGACTCTACAAGGACTCCATGTTATGACTATGATGTGACTGTCTCTTTGTGACACGTATGTCTTTCGATGTGTGACGTGACAATGACTATATAAACTGTGTACTGCCTTTATTCTGTCTGAGGGAAAGAAACAGAGTAAACCAGTGGAACTTGAGAGAAACTTAAATAAACTTCCAGAGTTTGGCACACCACGATCCGTCTCTGTCTGCTTAAATCCTAACAGATTTGGTGGAGAATGCGCGGCTCGGTTTGTGCCATTCTCTGGATTGTTTTGAGGGAGTTTTGCTCTGTTTCTTTTCCTCTGCGTGAGAGATCGGCATGCTGTGTCTGGGAGCGGAGATTCCAGCAGGCTGGAAGAGCTGTTCCTGGATGCTTCTTGTCGCTTCTGTCACTTTTGTTTTTTAAATTGAAGATTCCGACGCGGAAAAGAGGTTGGCAGACCTCTCGGACAGCCCGTGCGCACCTCTTTGACAAGAATAAGGTAAGCAGACACCTTTTTAAATGTAAAGTCTGCATAATTGGATACTAGCTAAATTTTTTGAGGTCTGTCGAACTCTCTAAATTGTGTTCAAATAAGTGTTGGCCATTAAAGTGAATAGGATCCATAAAGTGAAAAGTGTTGGCCATTAAAGTGAATAGGATCCATAAAGTGAAAAGTGTTGGCCATTAAAGTGAATAGGATCCATAAAGTGAAAAGTGTTGGCCATTAAAGTGAGGATCCATAAAGTGAAAAGTGTTGGCCATTAAAGTGAGGATCCATAAAGTGAAAAGTGTTGGCCATTAAAGTGAGGATCCATAAGTGAAACCATGGTGTAAAATTAAAAGTAATTATAAAAAGGGAAACGTGTTAAGGAGGCCCTTGTTACAAAAGCTTTGAAATTGACGAATTTCAGGCTGATAAATGACAAAAGTAAAGAAGCAACAATATTTCAGTGATCACGGTTTAAATTACATACAGAAAAAGGGAGTTTTTTTTTGTTTTTTAGTTTGTTTTTGGCGTGAACAGAGTTCACCGGAGAATGCAGAGTTTTATCTAAAGTTGAGCTATGAGAGCTTTCGTGAGTTATTTACATTTTTTGCCGAGTTTTATCTACAGTTGAGCTATGAGAGGGTTGTATCCAACAGTTGTTTTTGTTTTTTAGAAAGAGATTTTAAGTTTAAATTAGTTTGCTACCTCGATAAAATAGAAGCGTAAACGTTAAAAACAAGAGTGCCTTTTGTTACTAGTGTGGAAAGTGATCACTTCTAGATTTGGATGACAAAAGTATAAAGAACAACATCAGTTATATTCGCTTAACAAAGTAATCTTGAAAGTTATTCTTCTGTATCTTTTTGCCTGTGTGTGCACATCTCTATCTGCTGCCGTTGTCAGGGAAACGGCCCCCTCCTTCGCTGCTCTGGCTCTGAATCTGAAGCAAAGCTACTGCTTTTAGGATTTAGGCTTTTCATAGTTGTTATTCCGTTAAATTTGCTAAATTTGCCATTTGAACATTGTGTTAGACACAGTTAAACGTTTTTAAACACCATTAGGGAATAGAAGTTTTGAATTAGTATGTTTTTGAAACCCAAAGATTAGTACAAAAAGCTTTGCTTTTCTTTTTAAATCTGCTGCTTATTTTGTGAGTCCATTATTGTATCTCTGATATATTTCATAGCTGTTTGTGAGAATTTTTTCATGTATTTTTTATTTTAGTTACAAAAGCCGTTTTTCAAACATTTAAATTAGAATCTGTTAAAAGTGATTAATGATTGTAGACTTCGTCTAAAAAAGAAAGAGGGAATTAGGCTGTAAAAGTATTATATTATTAAGTTAAACTACCCAATTCACATGCAAGTGGTGACTTTTGTTTTTGTTTTGACTACACGCCTGACCTTGTTGCTCCTGCTGATGCCACAGCAGAGGAGACTGGTCTAAAATGTGCTCCAATTCATACTGACTTCATTTGAAAAATGCAGCAATTATTTTAAATTAGTAAAATATATGCTGAGATAAATGCATAGATAATTAATCACACAGTGCAAAAGTACATAATACATATTTTAAAGTTTGAAGGTTTAAGAGATTTGAGTCTTGTTTTTTATTAAGAAAGAGTTTCTGGTCTTCAAATGTCATCATTAGTAAGATAATAAGTAATCTTTTATTTACATAGCGCTTGGGAAAACCCAGAGCGCTTCAAAATTGTTTTGACTTTAGGGAGAAAAACAATCTCATTCACAATCTCTGTTGTTTTTAATTTGACTATAAGGTTGTTTTCCAGAACCAAGAGCACACACTGTACAGGGTCACTGGACTGCTGGACACTGGACACCAAAGCCCACCCAGCCACAGGTCACAGATCAAGGAGCAAAGGGAAATGCCACCTCCTTGCCCCTCCCCCCACTACAGAAGTAAGTGGGAGTGAGACCGGGGCCATGAAAGAGAGGTATCTGGAGACGTGATGGGTGGAGCATCAGGGAGAGACCTGAATGAGAGTTGAGAGTGTGTCCAGTTGGTTTGCATCACCACAGTGTGACCTTTGACACCTACAGGTGGTTCGAGGAGTCTTGAGACACAACCCCAAAATTCACATACACACACACATACACACACATACACTCACACATTCACATTTACATATAGATACATGAAAAAGCAGAACATGAAAAAAGCA